ACCATAGACATATTAATATGTCCATGTATGATACGAATAATTCAATTATTGTAAACTAATTTAAATTTAGGTTATATCAAATTTTATAATATTCATATTATGTAAAAGCCACTGAAAATCTCGTAAAGACAATAAAAAAAAACAATGCCAAAACAATTGGTATACTACAGAAAACAAACAAAATGGTTAATTATTAAAACCATGTAGATATTATTATGTCTATAATAAAAATCGTTTGACTATCGTGGTCAAAGTACAACGTTACCAAAATTCTTGCTGTTATAAACATGCCATTATAAAATCCAAAATATTATCATTGTATGTGTTTATTATTGTTAAATGCTTTTTTTCATACAATTTATTAAAAAGTATTTATTATTCTTTCCAAATAGGGACAAAAATATGGTATCTTTTTTAAACCGGCAATGCAGCCACGCATGCACCTCAATGCAATCACCCGTTTGATTCCCACTTCCCCTACTTAAACAATAATAAACACATACAATGATAAAATTTGGGATTTTATAATGGCATGTTTATAACAGCAAAAATTTGGCAATGTCGTATTTTGACCACGATAGTCAAAAGTTTTTTATTATAGACATATTAATATGTGGATGGTTTTAATAATTAACCAATTGTTTTCGCATTGTTTTTTTCATTGTCTTTACGAGATTTTCATTGGCTTTTACATACATAATATGAATATTATAAAATTTGATATAACCTAAATTAAATTTAGTTTGCAATTCGTATCATACATGGACATATTAATATATATGCTCATAATATGCCAAATCGACAAATTTCCCCTTAAAAAAGGAAACAAGGTCCATCCATACAAAATAATTTCATAAAAAAAAGTTGATAAAAAAATAGGTTGTTAAAAAAATAATTTCATAAAAAAAATTCATAAAAAAATAAGTTGATAAAAAAATAATTTTATATAAAAATAATTTCATAAAAAAATAAGTTGATAAAAAAATAATTTCATAAAATAATAAGTTGACAAAAAAAGATGATTGAAAAAAATAATTTTATCAAAAAAAAAGTTAAATAAAAAATAATTTGGTAAATAATGCATATAATTAATTATAATAATACTGGGGGTTTTAGAGATATTAGAACATATTTGTCTCTTTATTATGCATTTGTTGTATCTAAGCTGGAATACTGCTGTATGATTTGGAGTCCGCAATACAATATTTATAGGGAAAAGTTTGAAGGGATACGAAGAAAATTTTTAAAATTTGTTTCATTTAGGCTTGACGGTATCTATCCCTCCAACTGATCACTTGCAGCTTTTTAATAAATTTTCTTTACATCCTTTGGAATTAAATGCATTAATTTTAATTCCAAAGAATGTAAAGAAAATCTATTAAGAAGCTGCAGGTGATCAGTTCCTCTGGAACATCGCTGGTTTGGTGCAAGACTATCGTAAGTCCATTTTCAAAGAATTGGAGAAAAATAAAATTTAGTTACAATAAATAGGAATGTTTAATAGTGTTTTTCTCCAACTCTTTGAAAATGGACTTAAGTCCTAATTAGGATAGTCTTGCACCAAACCAGCGACATGTTATGAAGGGCAATAAATAAATAAATAAATAATAATATTATGTTTGTTATATTATAGGTATGTAGGTATACCTATAAAAATATTGTTCGATATTTTTAATTTAATTTTAAATATCGAATGAGATTTTTATTTCCGTTGAATTAAAAATGTCGTTATTGGTCAATTTGGCGGTATTGGGCCTACCGACAAAGGGACGGTCACGTGCATAGTGCGTAATTTTTTTAGTCTGTCTTTTGTGAAAGACTGTAATTACTTCGATAATAATTATTAATCATTATCAGTGAAAATGTTATGAATTAATTAGATATTTAATTAACGATAAAAAATACAGTAATTATTATTATTAGACTATTATAGTCTTACCTGTCATTTTCTTAACATTCATTGAAACCTGTGATGTGTCATTTTTCTCACCATCCCGGGATGGAGCGCGTAGGGGTGCGGGTGGTGGCGTGAATCGTACATTAAGATTCGTACACCTAAAAATAAAAATTAATGTGTCCAATGAATTTTGTTCACATTAACGTTTTGGGTGTACAAGTTTTCTTTAGAACACCCTGTATATTTTTTCAAAATCTGGGTTTAAAGCACAAAATCTCTAAAAACTAAAAAAAAACAGATTAAATTATGATCTTATAATAATCTTATAATGATCTTAAAATCTTACTTATTACAGTCTTGAATACTAAATTATAATAAGAATAAGCTCCAAACTTACCATTTTTAAAATATATTTTATCTTCTCTCCGGCAAGCCATTATCCATTGTTTTGCAAAAAAATGTTTCTTTCCCACACACAAACAATTGCAAAAACACAATATAAGTAAATAATAAATTTAAATTTATATACCTAATAATACGCACAATTCTCTTCGCATCGGTATAAAAAATAATAACATTTAACATAATAATAATTACCTACTAATTAAACACAATAAGCATCAGAAATTAAAATATCTATAGTTTCGATACTCGAATTTGGTTCCAATAGTAGCATGGTAGGTAGTAGGCTGCCTACTGTAGGCATGATACAAAGAAAACTTCTTTGTATCATGGGTAGTAGGTGTGTGTATCTTGCATAGAAAACCCCGGAGGGGGATCGTGCGACGGTCACAGGCTCACAGCACACTTCGAGCCTCATAAATTTCACCGATCATAAAGGATATGGTCTTCATAGTGTCTTCTTTGCTGTAGTCATTGGTTAATATTTACTCAACGGTGTAGTCTTTATAGTGTAGTAAGGTGATAATACAGTATTTATATCATATACCTAGTGAAAATAAATTTAAATATGAAGCGAGGTCCATATAAATTATATTTTGATCGTGATGGTGATGGAGTTATGCCTCGATCTACTTTTTATCGAAAATTAGCGAAGTATCAAGTAAGTATAAATTAATTTTATATCATTGAGAATAAAATCCCTTAAAATGTTTGATTCATAGGTACTGGATATATCCAGTATATATATGTACAGGGTGATCCCCTATAATGTCGCCCCCCTTTAACTTTTTTATTTTAAGTGTCCCAACAAAATTAAAAGTGTGGTTATTTGGGAACTAAAAAAAATTTATCAGTATACAGGGAAAAACAAAAAGTTAATTTTTTTTCAATGGATTACCCTATATATGAATTTATTTTTCGATTCCTTGTAAAATTCTAAGCATATTTCATATATCATACCATATACCTAAATTCAACCGTTTCTGAAATATTTAAATTATTTTTAAGATAATAAGTTGAAATATTTATACTATATAGTTTGTCTTTCTCTGTCTGAGTACGCCATTTTTACTTATTTAACAACACTTATTGACATAATGTCACTATAGTAATTTATTTTCAATAAAAATTTTGGTATACTGAGGCTTTTTGATTTTTAACAGTTTAAAAAAACATTTAATGATGACATTTCGAATGCGAATATTTCAGAAACGGTTGAGTTTAGGTATATGGTTTGTATATAAATTATGCTCAGAATTTTACAAGGAATCGAAAAATAAATTCAAATATAGGGTGATCCGTTGAAAAAAAATAAACTTTTTGTTTTTCCCTGTATACTGATCAATTTTCCAATTTTCTTTATACGTAGAAAAAAAGTATTTTTTAGTTCCTACATAACCACACTTTTAAATTTTTTGGGACACTTAAAATAAAAAAGTTAAAGGGGGGCGACATTATAGGGGATCACCCTGTACATACATTATGCAACTGATTTTCTTAATTGTTTTTAATGACAAAACAGCATTCTTTTTAAATTATTTAATGGTTAAAATTATTTCTTTATGTTCAAAATGAAATGCGAAATTTTGATAGCGCCTATGTATACAGGGTGCACCAAGTATCCTCCGAGGTATCCTCATGTGTATGGTTATTTTTTTTATTTGAAGAGCTACAAGGTCGGTTAAATTAAAATATTTAAAAAAAAGCCAGTGGTTCTTAAACTTTTTAAAAAACAAAACCTTTTAAAACTAAAAATCGTTTTAACTTATTTCTGGGAATTTAAAAAAGAGAAAGAAAGTTTTACATGCAAACATCATCCAATTTTAAGTTAAGATTTGTTTTCAAATTTTTAAATGCCATTTTAATAGACTTAAGTCACAATTGTATTTATGCAACTTTTCTCAAGCGATCCTTTACCTCTTTAAATAAAAAATATACCCATGCAAAGAAGGACGACCTTTATCAAAATAGTAATGAGTTGCAAGAAAATTGTTTTTTCCGAGGTTTTTCCTTGGGTTTTAATTTATTATTTAAACCGTTGAATCAATAAATGCTGCAACACTATTTTTTATCAATTGGTTGGTTGCCAGATTTCCGGGTTTGACCCTAAGTTTTTGGTGGCTGGTCTATTTAATTTTCAAAAGTAATGGTTACTATTGACTGCTTTAACTTGCTTTAACTTTTTAATTTATCCCCGTTTTATTAAATTTTTATACTTCCGTCTTGAAAAGAAAATATCAAATGAGCAAAAACTGACAACAATTTTTCAAACTAAAATTTTTAAAATCATAATTGCAAATTAACCATAGACAATAAAAATGATTTGTCGCATATTCTGGGGGTTTAAAATAAAGCAAAAACTTTTATCAGGAATTAAATTTTCTGAGAAATGTAAAATAGTTTTACCTGTTCGTAATCCCATCCGTAGACATATGTATCTACTGTATATCTCCGGGTCTTCTGTGTGGTAAAGCTGGCAACCCTAACTAATATTGATAAAAAAAAGGTTTAAATATTGCGGGATCTTAATCATATTAGTTATCATTATCATATTCATTGAATATGTATAATAAAAAGGACTTATAAGACCTTTTTATATACGAAAATATTTATCTGGCCTATTGTCTATTAGTATACATGATGATCATAGAAGCAATGTCGATTTTCTCAGCTGACCAATTAGACCGGGTTAATCCAGAAAATGCATGAACACAAGCTTTCACGTGGCGTTCAGGTGTGTTCTAACTGATCAGCTGAGAAAATCGAACTACGAATCGAAAAGCAAGTCGAACGCATCGTACGCCTTGCAAAGAAATAATTATAATGCTTTAATTCTTACTTACACATTATGTTTTCAACAAGTGCATTTTATTTATTCTACAAGAAATCCGTATGTACCAGTAACGAGACGTATGTCTTACCTTGTGATAAATTGCAATAAATTTGCTTATTATTAGGGTCCCTCTGTGTTTTTAAATAATCTGCTAAGCTTGCAATCCTATTATTTTTGTATCCGCTTTAGATTTCAAATGAAGAAAATCCAATTCCTAATCAAAATAATGATGATGACGTAAATGCAATTTATCCATTACTTTACGTTGAAGCTGTGGATGAAATTATTGTTTCTCCTGTCTGTCAAGAAAGCTCAACTGTAATAAATGCAGAACCGATTTCATGGCTTCATGAAGAATATGATAAAGAAACTGTACATCAAGAAATCTGGTTTGACGTAAGGAATTAACTTTATATTAAAAAATAAAAACAAACCTAAATTCACTTTCTTTTTTTAAAGGCTGAAGACGTACCACCGTTTGGAGGTTTTTGTGCGGATATCAATGACAAGACTGAAAAATGATTACATAATATATTAAATTTAATATTATGACTTGTGAAGTGAGGGTTTTTTCGTAATCAAATTACTTTCTTTAATATTTTACTTATTTCACTTTATTTTAAAAACAACAATTTAAGTTTTAAATTAGTAATTAGTACACTAGAAGTGAGACCTTTTTTGATAACTTCCCTGATTATTGCGTTTTCGATTTTATTTATAAAAATAAAAAAATTTGGTATTTGGGAGTTTTTTAGGACGGAAAATTTAAATTTTTCAAAAAAACTTGTAGAGGGCGCTATCTGTGTCACTTGGAATACGTTTAAGTGTTCACATATTTTTGCGCCTTGGTGTTTTGAATGAAAATATTAATTTTTTCATTACTACGAAAAAGACTTTGTAAATATCGCTGCGATCAACTGTTATGGAGATTTTGCATTTAAATTGTTCAGTGCACCAATTTAATTGTGATTTCAAAACTATGTGTTTTTAAATATTTATTCAAATATTCACAATAAAAGGAAATTAAACTAAACACGTGTGCCTTTTTTGCGTAATAAAAATATAAAAAGTAATATTTTTACTCAAAACGTAATCAAACTAAACGCATGCAATGTTTCGCAGGCAAGGCCCTCTACAATCTAGATCAATAATTTTATGAAATTTAAATTTTTCGTCCTGAATAACCCTCAAACAAGAAATTTATGCATAAACAAGTTTTTTTCAGTTTTAAATTTGACGCCATCTATCCTGGTTGTTATCTTTAACTTTAAGACCTGGTAAATTTAGTTAAATCGTAATATTTTTACATAAGGTGGGTGAACCACTCGTATATTAATATACAGGGTGTCCCAAAAGTCAATGATATCCTTTGAAGGACTAATAGGTCAGCTCATAACTAAATAGAATATCAAAACATGACCTTAGTGAAAAATCATTAGTTTCTAAGATATTGGCATTTTTATGAATTTTGTGAAACTTGACACATAAGATCAGTTTTTTGAGTGCCACAACTACAACATTCTATATTCTTAGATTATATTTTATTTTACGTAACCCTGAATAGGACTGCTATTAATTACAATTCAAAATTAAATAAATAAGAGATTTTGTAGCTGTGGCACTCGAAAAACTGATCTAAGGTGTCAAGTTTTACAAAATTCATAAAAATGGCTGTATCTCAAAAACGAACGATTTTTAACTAAGGTCATATTTTGATTTTCTGCTTAGTCATGAGTTGGTCTATCAGTTCTCCAAAGGATATCGTTGACTTTTGGGACACCCTGTATATATATATAATATATATATATAATTATAACTACACGGATATTAGAGTATTTAACTTTGAATTATTTATACAAATTTTGTAAATGTTTTTAATTTTAATTCATGTTAACGAAATATTTTTTTATTCTCTTTGATTACGAAATTTATTGGTTCCAAGAAAATGATTGCTTAATATTCTTATTTTTTGTTACAGCACCAAGATAAACAAAGTGACACTGATTGTAATTATGGCAATCCACTTTGTAATTGTACCACAATTACGCGGGGAGAAGCTTTAATGATGACACTTCTTTTAGGAGCTGAAGAATCGCTTACATGGAAAACTATTACAGCGATCTTATCATTGATTAATACGTTATTCCAAAATGACGTGGTTCCTGCTTCAAAGTATATGTTATTTAAAACATTACAGCTAAATGAGGATATTCTAGTATATCATGTATATTGTGATGAATGCTTTTATTATTTTGGTGCTGAAAACAAATTTGATAAAAAGGAATTACCTAGTATGCCAAATTTGCAACAATGATGGGAAATCATCAGAAATTTCTTATTTCTTAACGTTAAACGTAAAAAATACCAGATGTCAAAAATTTGCTGTCGCCTGTAAATTTTGTCATCTGTACCCTGTCAAATTTTACCTGTAATTTTTTAAAAGATGTAATCAGTCACAGGTCAATTTTTACATCTGCCAGATGTTAGTTTTTGAAAGATGTCATTTTTAACATCTGTCATTTTTGACATCTGTCATTTTTGACATCTGTCATTTTTGACATCTGTCATTTTTGAAATCAGCCACAGGTCAATTTTTACATCTGCCAGATGTTAGTTTTTGAAAGATGTCTTTTTTGACATCTACCGTTTTTGACTTCTGTCATTTTGACATCTGTCATTTTTGACATCTGTTATTTTTGACATCTGTGATTTTTGACATCTACCGTTTTTGACATCTGTCATTTTTGACATCTGTCATTTTCTCATCTGCCATTGTTGACATCTGTCATTTTTGACATCATGTAGTAATATTGTTAAATAGGTGGTGTTTTTATAAATTGATAAATTTTATCTACTCGTTAATATGTCATTTTTGTCATCTGTCATTTTTGACATCTGTCATTTTTGACATCTGCCATTTTTCACACCTGTCATTTTTGACATCTACCGTTTTTGACATCTGTCATTTTTGACATCTGCCATTGTTGACATCTGTCATTTTGACATCATGTAGTTAGAGTAATATTGTTAAATAAGTGGTGTTTTTATAAATTGATAAATTTTATCTACTCGTTAATATGTCATTTTTGACATCTGTCATTTTTGACTGTCATTTTTGACATCTGTCATTTTTGACATCTGTCATTTTTGACATCTGTCATTTTTGACATCTGTCATTTTTGAAAGATTTAATCAGCCACAGGTCAATTTTTACATCTGCCAGATGTTAGTTTTTGAAAGATGTCTTTTTTGACATCTACAGTTTTTGACTTCTGTCATTTTGACATCTGTCATTTTTGACATCTGTTATTTTTGACATCTGTGATTTTTGACATCTACCGTTTTTGACATCTGTCATTTTTGACATCTGTCATTTTCTCATCTGCCATTGTTGACATCTGTCATTTTTGACATCATGTAGTAATATTGTTAAATAGGTGGTGTTTTTATAAATTGATAAATTTTATCTACTCGTTAATATGTCATTTTTGTCAACTGTCATTTTTGACATCTGCCATTTTTCACACCTGTCATTTTTGACATCTACCGTTTTTGACATCTGTCATTTTTGACATCTGCCATTGTTGACATCTGTCATTTTGACATCATGTAGTTAGAGTAATATTGTTAAATAAGTGGTGTTTTTATAAATTGATAAATTTTATCTACTCGTTAATATGTCATTTTTGACATCTGTCATTTTTGACATCTGTCATTTTTGACATCTGCCATTGTTGACATCTGTCATTTATGACATCATGTAGTTAGAGTTATATATATATAGTTATATTGTTAAATAAGTGGTGTTTTTATAAATTGATAAATTTTATCTACTCGTTAATTAATATTAATATCTTATTTATAATAAAATAAAAAGTTATTTCCTATTATAGTGCATTCATTTAACCTACCTTATAACCTAACATATTACCTAAAATATTAAAGAAGAAATCTTCTTTTTAATTTTTTTCCAACAAAATTCAGTTTACTGAACATCTCTCAATAATGCCGTATAATTATTTTTATCGCTATATAACTTTTTTGCTGAAAGTCTTAATAAGTCTTATTAACTCTTCCAGAAGAGTCCCAAATCTTGCTATTATTCTGACTTACTAACTCTTATTCTGAATTTTTCCGACTTAATAAGTATTATTCTGAGTTTTTCAGACTTATTCAGACTTTTTAAGAGAAAGTAAGACTTTTAAAACTCTTATTTTTACTTATTAAAACTTTTTCAGAGAAAAATTTCCACAAGGGCGCCGCTGTCCAACCTAACCCCCAACGCTCTATACCCCAAATCGTTCAAGGCCAAGGCAACGGCGCAAAAATTCACCAACCCGATTTTCTTAACGTCATACGTGTCAATTAACGCCATAAAACTATCTGGATACGCAACGGCAAACGAAATTAACGCCGTTGTTTGTTAAAAATATAAAAGAATTTACATTAAATATTTTAAACAATTTTTTTAAGATTTCATTAATTTTATCCCCATATCTGCAAACCTAATAACAAGAAAGTTATAGGGTATTTTTGATTGACGCGCATTTGCCAAATGCCAAGGACATGGTATAGCAATTTTACTCAGAATTAAAAAATGTAAAAATATATGGGGTGTTCTATGTGAAATAACAAAATTGATGTGTCATTTTGTTCAAAATATTTTAGAAAAATAGACCTAAATGGATTATAAACTTTTAAAATTTAAAATCGATAACTTTTTCCGTTCTTCAGAAACTTCTAATGGGCCACGAACGTGAAACGCCCTGTATATATAAAAAGTTTTCCTTAGGATAGCTAATTTTAGAAAAACAACATTTGCTGCAGTCGTGTTTATTGATTTGATTATAGCACTTGAAAAATATGTATTTTATACAAACTCTACATAAAATATATTATATAAAATTATATGGTATAAAAGTGTATAATTAAAATGTAAAACAAGTTAAGTATAATAATGTAAAACAAGTAAAGTAAAGCTATTTTCGCGATGCCAACCCCGAACTAGTTTTGGCATCCTACGCATGCGTATTTGAAATTTATATTCTAAAAACAAATTTAGATAACAATGTTTTTTCTTAAATATACAATAAATTGTGCTGCTTAGTGCTTTAGGATAGCTCCCCAATGGGTGCATTTTCAAGCCACAACCTGTGCAGGAACTGATACAAAGTATCGCTAACAGAAACCTTATAAGGCGTTGGGTTCAGCGTACGTTTTATATCAGGCCTGAGTATTTTCAAGCAGTTCATAACGTTCTCCCTTATTTGCTGTAGATTCGGTAGAGGTTGCGTGATGACTCCATTGTGCCAGTACAAGTTTAACAAACTCTCAACGCGGCTGGGTATGACAAAGGCCCTCTTCGATTCTTGAAAAGGATGTCTGCACAACACCTTCTCGTTTATTTTCGGAGGTTCTTCCACTGAACGTTGCAATAAATCGATTAAAGCGAAACCAGTCTCGCTGTACAGTCTGTAGGCGTTCTTCTTACCGGGTATCGTAACTTTCTCGACGTCATGACT